TAGGCTGAGCTGCATGGGAGCTCTTCAAGGAAAACCCTCAGTGCTGTATGGAGCTGCGTGCGGGAAGTTCATCAGGGGTGCTCTCCCCTTAGAACTGGTGATGAATGAGAGCAGAGACTGCTGAATGGATACTGTAGGTACCAGAGGGAAGATCTGTAGTTCTTAAAAAGCCTATAGTGGATTCAGTAAGTGACAAGTAGTATTAACTCTCGTGTCCTGACTCATTCTGTCCCAGTTATATGCTGTCTGTCCAAAATCACCCATGTAGCTAAATCACAGAGAGAATTCTTCACACTCTGTCCTAGGTATTCTCATTCTAGGGCACTTTTTCATGCCTTACCCTGATGTTGACCTTCCTGTTTTAAAGTTCCCAGGTTTGTTCTCTGTCCAAAGATGAATATATGTCCAACCCTTCATTAAGAATGCTTCCTACATCTCTGGGAATGGGGGCATCAGTAAAGAAATACAAAAATGAAAAAATACCCTAACTTTTCTATCCTGGATACCACTATCATTGCCCCACTGTATAAAGTGGTGTTACTCCCATTTTATCAGCAGGGTGCCAAAGGACTAAGGACTAGATGTTTAAAGGTATCTACATACCTAATTCCCAAAATAACTTTAAAAATTTTGCCCTGACTTGGTCATAATCAGAGAAGGAAGTACATAGCAAAGCAAGGACAGTATCTGGCTTGCAGAAGTACCAAATTAGCAATCAAACCCATAGACCAGCAGTTCCCAAACAGGTCCTAGGGCATTCTGGGGTATCCTAAGAGCCTTTTAAAGGTGCTGCAGATTCTGGTCACTATTAACACTGTTAGGATTAGCACCTACACATGATTCACAAGATAAACCCAGATATTTCAAATAGGAATCCACAGTGTCAAATATGTTCTGTCCTGTTGTGGTCTGAGTTCTCTGCAACAGAAGAATTGCTCTATTATTTTTCAGTCATCAGAAAATGAGTGATAGCTGAGAGAGAAAATGTCCCAAGAGGTGCTTGAGTCTAGCAGGTTTGAGAACCCCTGCCCCAGGGGTTTTCAACCTTTTTTAAGGAGTGCACCCCTTCTGGGTACACTTCTGGCAGAGTTGGGGGGGTGGGGGGGTGGCGGTGGCCGGACACAGAGTCAGGAGGAGCTTGGACCTTGTGGCAGGGGGGGGCCAGGGGGGGGA